CATCGATTCCGCTCGAGCCAGCGCCGAGCCGGGGGGGCACAAGGCCCCGTGCCAGCTGCCATGTGCCGTGCCGTGCCAGACACTTGTACCCGGCTGTGCCTCGATGCACTGTGCTGCGCTCTGTGTGCTGTGCCATGACTTGCCATGCTGTGCTGTGCCATGCACCAGCCAGATCTAAGAGAGACTGTCCTGGGCCACCTTTTGGGGTGACTCCATGACCTGTCCCCTCCCTGTTCCTGCCAGCCCGTGTCCCCCAGCCGAGGTGGTGGCTGAAGCTGGCTCAGCCACTGGCTCTGAGCACCGAGATGGCCCCAGACCCACTGACTGGGGCTGGCACAGGAGAGGCTCAGCTCCATGCCAGGGTGAGGGGCTTGCAGTGCCCACACAGGAGGGACACTGATGGGCTCGGCAGTGTGATAGGTTTGGCAGATGCTGCCAGATGGGGCTGGCAGGCTGCCCTGGCCAGGATGTGTCCCGTTGAGTCAACACTGGCAGGGATGGGTGCGGGGGAGGCTCTGGAACCATTCAGCACCTGCTGCCAGCACGGCTGCGAAACCTGCCAGGGTCATTGGGGCCAGGGGCTAGTGACCCCCGGCCATGGCCTCCCATGGCAGGGCTGTAGGGGCTTATCCTGACACCAGCCCATCCCTTCTGCCCTGGTGGAGCTGTGGCATAGTGTGATCAGAGACTGAATGTGCCCTCGGATAACCATGGGGAGCCTGGGTGAAGCTGTGCCCCTCAGACCTGGGGCTGGCAGGGCTGGAACCCTCGTGGGCACATGGGGCTTCTTCAAATGCTGTTCACCTGGGCACAGGCAAATACCTGTGCATGGCTGCTCCATCCCTGCATCCCTCCATCCCTTCATCCCCCATCCCTTCATGCTCCTATCCCTCCATCCCCCATCCCTCCACCTCCCATCCCTTCATCTCACATCCCATCATCCCTCATCCCTGCCCCCCATCCCGTCATCCCCTATTCTTGCATCTCCTATCCCTGCACCTCTGTTCCTGCATCCCCATCCCTTCATCCTTATCCCTCCTTTCCCCATGCCATCACTCCTCATCTCTCCATCCCTGTATCCCCAACCCATGCCCCTGGGTTCCTGCTCCCTGTTCCCAGCTTGGGGTGAGCTGTGGCTTCCCAAGGTCTGTGCAGCTCTGCTGGCACCGGCCCTGGCCCAGCACTGCTCCCGTGCAGGTGGATCGCAGCGAGGTGATCAAGAGCAACCTGAACCCTGTCTTCGCCAAGATCTTCACCGTCGATTACTACTTCGAGGAGGTGCAAAAGCTGCGGTTTGAGGTGTATGACAGCCATGGCCACACCGGCGTGGGCACGCACGACGATGACTTCCTAGGGGGCACAGAGTGCACTGTGGGGCAGGTGAGCCCTGGGACTCCGCCTCAGGGACACCCACCTGGGGACTCCCTGGTGGTGTCCCCTCCCTGACCCTGGGTTCTTGCAGATTGTGGCACAGAAGAGGGTGACGAAGCCTCTGTTCCTCAAGTATGGGAAATTTGCAGGGAAGTCCACCATCACGGTGAGAGCTGACACATGTTGGGTGGCACTGGGGTAGGGTGCAGGGGAGCACTGGGATGTGGTGCACAGATGGCACCAGGCTGGGACTTGGGGTTGGCACCAGGCTGGGACCTAGGGGTGCCACCAGGATGGACCACTTGTATACCATCAAGCTGGGTCATTGTGGTGGAGTTGGGGTGGAGTACACAGGTGACACCAGGCTGGGACACTGGGATGGCATGAGGAGGCACCAGGATGTGTCATGTGGGTGGCATTGAGCTGGGACCCTGGAGTGTGACAGAGCTGGGGCAGTGGGATGGCACGAAGCTGGGGCACTGGGATGGGGTGCATGGATGATACTGGGCTAGTAACCTGGAGTGGCACCAAGCTGGGGTACATGGGTGGCACCAGAATGGGATCCTGGATTGGCACCAGACTGGGATTATGAGATAGCACCAGACAGGACATATGAGGATGGCATTGGGCTGGGACATCTGAGTGGCACTTGGCTGCACCAGTGGGATGGCACCGGGCTGTGTGTGCCATTGAGCTGGGGCATATGGGGGGTTCCCAGTGACCCTCATCCTGTCCAAGCTGCCATCCACCCTGGCAGCCCCTCAGGCTCTTAAGGGTGGGGAGGGCTCAGGGTCCCTGTTGGCATCTGCTGGCCAGCCTGGAGGTCCCTGCTGTGCTGGGGGAGATACATGGCACCTTGGTACCACAAGGAGGTGGAGGGCAGTGGGGCAGGGAGGGCAGGGGACAAAGTCATGCCAGCCACTGAGCACCTCTTGGCCGCCTCTCCTTACAGATCATCTCAGAGGAGATCTCGGGGAACAACGGCTACGTGGAGCTCGCCTTCCGCGCCAAGAAACTGGATGACAAGGTGAGTCAAGTGCTGGGGGGAACACGGGGCAGGGTGGTCAAGGTGGGCAGTGCTCTGCCCCATCCTCCTCCTCCAGGACCTCTTCAGCAAGTCAGATCCCTTCCTGGAGATCTACCGCATAGATGATGACCGCAGTGAGCAGCTCGTGTACCGCACTGAGGTGAGACTTGAGTGGGATCAGTTCCTGGGCTGCTCCATGGCCACCCCAGAGGCTTCCCAGCCCTGCTGAGCCTCCCACTCCATAGGTGGTGAAGAACAACCTGAGCCCCATCTGGGAACCCTTCAAGGTCTCCCTCAACTCACTCTGCAGCTGTGAGGAGAAGAGGAAGCTGAGGGTGAGAAAGGGTGATGAAGACCCTCATTCCTGTCCCAGGGGCATCTGTACCTTGGTGTCCCCAGGGGTGTGCCAGGGACCCCATGGTGCTGGGGATGGTGCTGGGAATCCCCCAGTACTGGTGCCAGTGCCGTGGCTGAGCTGTGCTCACCACAGTGTGTAGTGTGGGACTACGACTCACGGGGCAAACACGACTTCATCGGGGAGTTCTTCACCACCTTCGAGGAGATGCAGAAGGCAATGGGGGAAAACAAGGTGGGACATGGGGATGCAGGGACATCCTGGGGATGCTGCCAGCAGAGCCTGTCCCAGCAGGCGCCTCCCAGCTACTCCCCTGGCTTTGGGGTTGTTCTCCCCTCCCTGCCCCCCTCTTCTGGGAAAGGATGGTGGGTTTGGGCTGGGACTGGCTGCCCCCTGAGTCTGTGGGGCTGCAGGGTTATGGGGCTGCAGGGTAATGGGGCTGTGGGGCTGCAGCAAAGCAGGGTTATGGGGCTGTGGAGCGTGAGGCTGCAGGGTTATGGGGCTGCAGGCTTGTGGGATCTCTGTGCTGCAGAGCCATGGGGCTGTGGGGTTATGGGGCCACAATGTCATGGGGCTGTGGGACCATCATGGGGCTAGAGGGCTGTGGGGAGCTGGTGGCGGGTGCC